AGTGATTATGTTGTTTGTGTAACATCTGTACATCTTAGTATTCAAAATAAATATGTTAATAACCTTAAAATTACCAACATTAGACCATGGGAATGTTCAAATGTCTATATGGTCTATATGTACTAGACCGGCTTTAACCAGGTATAACCTCACTAAATTTTTGCTCAATAATGTGGAATTATCCAAGCCTTGTTTCTGTGTAAGTTCTAAAATCTGTGAATCTGTCAGTTTCACTGAAGAAAGTTATGAAACCACAGAAATGATCAACTATACTTTGTTATGGGTTAATCATAATATAGTACCCTCTTTTACAATAATAGAGAAAACATATTGTACCTATCCAATGCATTTCCTCTATAATATCCTCCAGCTTCACAGGCCCATGTTTGCACTTTCCTCTTGTTAAAATTGCAGACAAGAATAATTTTGATTTATTGGTGACATCTAATATAGTTGTGTTTATATTGTTGCCAATAAAATGACTAACACGATTGGCTTTTGTTTATACAATCTTTTCTGAGGAGTCAGTCACCTGTGTTAGGACAAGGTACATTCTGCTTATTAAAATGAACTCCTGAGATCTAAGAACATTCAGCTCTATCTGTCCTTGATTGAATTGCAAAATGTGCTTCACACGGCAGCCGTGCATGAGAATAACTTATATTATCTATCAATAGGCTTTTTATTTCTATATTCTTCTGGCTACAAAAGCTGTAACTAGAGAAGCCTATGGGAATAACATGGGCCTATTAATGATCAAGGCAGTGATGTCGAAAAGGCAGTGTTAATGAAATTATACAATCATTAACCCAAAGGAAAAAAATAAAAAGAATCAATAAAAATTCTACTTTAGGTGGCTTAGACATATGTATAAGAAACCAGCGCAGGAGCAATTTGTGTGCTTACCAGTATTTTGTGCCTCAATATCAGGTTTTCTATGTAGGGTAAGAAATGCTTGTAGCATAAGGAATGGAAAATGTAACAAAGGCTAAATGTAGCCTAAGGAAATGAAATGATGTATGAAAATTAATAATTAACTGGCTCATCAGATGAATTATGACTCTAGATGAGTTTATTAATGATATTTACTAAGAAAGAGCTTTTGGCTGTACATAGGCATTATAGAGCTTATGTTTTGGGAATTTTCTTAAATGGATGAGTTAACATTGTTTTTTGTTTATTTAATCTTTTAATCCATGAGAAAGTGCCTAAGCCTTGGTTTTAGAAGATAGAGAAATGACTTTTGTGATTTGATTCAAGTCACAGGTTTCCCAGAAAACTAGAGAAATTATTAAATGGTTTTGTGTCTTATTTTTTGTAGAAGCGAAGTACTTTTTTTCTCTGACTTGACCTACAGTAGTGTTTTTGAGTTTGACAGTGGTCAAAAGTGAAGATCTATTAACTCATGTTGACTCCTGTAGCCCAATGAGTATTTTTATTATTTGAATCAATGGAGTATTAAACATCTAAATGTATCAATATGTCCAATTTTCAGTTCATTAAATTTGTACTTCTGGATATTCCTTGCTTTTTTTCTTTTTCTTCTCTTTTTCTATTGATACCCTGGGGTAGTGTAGTTGGATGGAGGACAGCGGGAAAGTAATGCTGGAGAACTTGATAAGTTTTTAAATAGAAAGGTACTCTTCTAATGGAATCTTCCTACCAGTTAGGCTTTGATACTTATTAGTTGAAGAGGTGTAGGAAAACTTAATCCTAATATACATCTTTTTATGGTAAGTGTTGTCTTTCAGCACATTGATGGCATGAGAGCCTCCTATCCGCTCTTACTCTGATGGAGTGGGTAGGTACTATTTTTGCTTCCATGTCTCCCAGTTTAAGTGCCATGAGTATAAAATCTACATATTTACTTCTACATATTTATTAAATGGGTATTTTTAATAATCTTCCTTATCTTAATTATCTGGGAAAACAGAATTTCTAGAGACTGTAATGATTATCATCAACTTCCTCATTTTATGGATTGGAGGAAAACTGTAAGTCCAGGGAAGTTATAAATGATTTGCTAGAAGTAGAATTCAGGTGACCAGGCTTCTGGTTGAATGCTCTTTTCACTCTGCCTGAATGAGGACGTATCTTTCTTAAAAGTTAGCAGTTAATTCTTTTTTGTTGTTGTTGTTACCACGTGAAACTTAGAGTTGTTTTTTTAAGTAGGCCACATGGTCATATGGCCTAGCTAAAAAATATATGAAATATTAGAATATGAATAGACAAAATTGATTTTTAAATTTAATATTTTTATCCTGAGACTCTTTTTTTTCAGCTCACATGCCATTGACCTCTTGGTTTTCCTTTATGGTATTAATCACATTACTTTTAGGCTGTTGCTTTTTTAGTTACAAAATTTAAGTAATTTTGTTGTTTTTACTTTTAACCTAAAGCTATTTAAAACAGGAGTATAGTTTATAAAATAACAGAATAAATATCCAATCTGACAGGCAAGAATAAATGTCTGATAATTAAGTTTTCAGTGTTTTAATTTTTCTTGCTTTTCACATACTTAACTTTACTAATGATCAAGTCTAATGCCAAGTACCTACTTATGTGTTTTATCCATATTTTTTGATGATAATTTCTACTTGTGTGTGATCTTTCTGCCAAAAATTACTCTCTTCTTTTTAAAAACTTGGAAATGGGCATAGTCTGCAAATCTGCAGACATTTGTCACTTGGACCACAGTCTTAGTGACTCATATTTCCAGTCATGTTGGATAATACATAATTTTTTAACAAACTGCCAGTGCAACATATTTATCTTGCCTTTTTTGTGTGTGTTGGTACTGAATAAGTGCTTTCTTATGCAGGATTCAGAGTGCTTGGAAAACAGTTTTTATCAATGAGTGGAGAATAGATGGCTACTATAATCTGGTGAAGTATAGAGATATAAAATGATTCTTGCCCACAATTTACCAATAAATCAATTTACTAGCTGGTAATACATTTGGATTCTTATAAATGGATAAGCAAAAAAGGCATTGGACTTTTTCCAATGTAAAAAAAAAATCTTACAACTGGTCTGATTCCAGGATTCATTTCTTATTATCCATAACGAATTTAAATAATACAGGTTTGGATAAGCCTGAATATACTGTATTTGCCCATTCTCAAAACTGTAGTGAAGGGAAGGGCAGGAAAAATACCTAGAAGTATCTCTGAGGACTACATAGCATGGAAGCATTAAATTCTTTGTTCTGACAAAGAATTCTGACAGACTGACAAAATTCTTTGTTCTTTAATCCTCATCCAAAGATACTTTTCCATTGCTTTTTAGAGAGAGTATGAGTGGGGGAGAGAAACATCGATGTAAGAGAGAGACACATCAATTTATTGCCTCCTGTACCTCACCAGACCAGGGCTGGGCATTGAACCTGCAACACAGGTACAAGTCCTTGACCAGGAACTAAACCTGTAATCCCGTGGTGAATGGGCTGACATTCTAACCACTGAGTGACATGGGCCAAGGTTAGAATTCTTAATAAAATAGAGAATTGCTAGAAATGAAGGGAACCTTCCCAATTTTATATTATTAGTAATTTTTGAAGTTATTTAACATACGACACAAATAGTTAACTTTTCAGAAGCCACAGTGAGTGTTTAACTTGAAAATTAAATATTTTTGATTTTCTAAAATGATAAAAGAAAAAATCTTTTAATGAAAAATTTGTCCTTCTTGATATTCTGTCCTTGATGATTTATGGAGCCATTTATTTTGGAGTTGAGTTGGAAATATTTGTCTACAACATTGAGTGGCTCCTTCAGAAACAGTTGAAATAATTCAGTTGGGGATATTTGGCCACTACTGCTTATACTCTGTCTATATTTTATTATTTTGTTCAACTGTGGCTTCTTTCAATGACTGTCATGTCTATTTAAAAGAAAACAGGCTGCATTCATTAGGAGTGGTAGTACTTAGTCACCTCACTGATTGTACATATATTTTGGGGAGGTATTGATCAAGGAAAAATGGTTTTTCCTAACAATATAATCAGGGAACACTGGCATTATTGCATACAGATGGATGGTGATGTTCTGTGGTCATGCAGTACTTTTGGTTCTCCTCTGGTACTTGAGAAAGGGGGTAGTGGGATTGCACATGAAGCTTTGTGGAACTATGGTTGATTTACCATGTTTGGTGCATGATAAACATACCTTTTAAAGGGCTGTTCTTTCCTTATACTTTCCATAAAGCATATTTCACAGCCTTTTCCTTTTCTAGGATCTTAATGGACGGTGAGAGTATTGTCCTATTTCCATTTCTGTAACTCAGGATCAGTATGGAACCAAGATTCTAATGCAGCTCTGAATATTGGGTTTGTGAATGTATGAGGCCTTTGTGAGAGTCCCAGGCCATATTTATATCTTTTGTGAATCTAGGGACTATGAAATACTTGCTTTATGAGTGAAAATCAGAGATGATTTAATGTCCTCATAATCTCATTTAGAGGCCGGATCTGCCATTAGTTTGTTTACTGGAACCTCTGAAGCATTGCTCTTACAGCTCAGGAAGGTGATGCCTTTGGCTTTTCCAAGACTCAGTGTTGCAGAAGTGAACTGGTACAGACAGAGCCTCGAGGGAGCAAAATAAGTTTCATTTTGCAAGCTGGCATCAGTAGGTTGGTTGTAGTTGCCAAGAGCACTATATTGAGAAGGGCTCAGTGGCAAACAAAACAATGCAGTGATCCATAATCCATGCCTACCATGAACGCAGGAGGGGAAAGTGCTCGCCAGTGAATCATGTATTTGATGACCCTGCTCTACATAAAAGGCCCTTTTGCTAAGAGTGCTTCTTTTCTTCCTGAGGTGAAAGCTACACAGGTTGAAAACTCACTGTAACTTATTTTCCATTTTACTTTTAAAAATGCCTGCATTTATTTTTTTAAACAGGCTAAAAACCCACACCATGGATAACTTATTGGACTTTGCCTGAAAGGAGTCATTAGTGCCATTGGATACTTGACCATCTTGGCCACAGGTTTTTTCAAAATGAATGGAAGGTCATGCAGCATGAATCTCTACCGGATATCAGGAACCCCACAGGGGCCTGGGATGGTCAGTGGCCAACACATTCCTCCCATCCGAGCCCACTCGGGGGCTCCTGGCCCCTCGTCCTGTGGCAGCGCACCAAGCCCCGGCATTGGAAGCCTTGCTAACAGTCTCCATCTCAAGATGCCCTTGGGAGGAGGGATGGTTCCTCAGAACAACATGGCTGAGAGCCCCATCCATCTGCCCGCCTTGAGCCCCGGGAGACAAGTGCTCACCAATGGGAAGTCACGATTCCAGGTCACCCAGGCCGGAGGCATGTCAGGGCCACACACTTTAATGCCAAAGCAGAAGGAGTTTGGAAGTCCTTTTCCTCCAAATCCTGGGAAAGGTAGGATTGTCTTTCTGGGATCTTTTAAAAGTAGAAAGTACTTTTTTCTTCCCCTCCTCCCTCCTCCCAGAAGATCCTTTGGAAAAATACACGATTCAATGTCAGGGCTAAAGTTAATGGTCTTATAATGATGTGTAACTCTCTTGGGAAGAGGGAATATATGTACGTGTGTGTGAGGACTAGGATGCCACAGGAGTAAATGTGAAATCTCATAGAACTGTGAAACAGAGTGGAAGGCAAGATAGAAAGATCAGAAACAGGGAGGTGGGACGGTGACAGTGGAGAAAGGGAAAGGGCAAAGTTTAGCAAGATCCTACTCTTTGGATGCACAAAGCTCTACCCTGGCTCCCCAAGGGCTAGATTCTGCAGGCCATGGAGGAGAGCCAAGGGTGGCTGGAACTATCACTGTGCTAGTTGGGTGCTAGCAGAAAGGTGGTGCTTGGAAGGAAAAATATAAAAAAGGAGACATTTTATAAAATGAGGAGTTAATCCATAAAAATGATAAAAAATATTCAAGAGAAAAACTTGTAATTTTTCTAATACAACTATTAATAAGAGAGAAGGAAGCTAGGAGGAAATAATGAAAAGATGTATTTTTTTGTGCTTGTGGAGAACTAGAAAGCCTGGTTAATTTGAAATTCTGAGAGAATTATTTAATTCAATAATGTTTGAATTACCATATATTTTATATTATCTATTTAATTTTTAAAAAATTTTCTGAGTTTACTTGAGCCAAAACTGATGACAATTTCCAGGAAGCAAGATCTCAGATGCTCCATAATTACCATATGTTTTAAATTAAAGAATAATTATTGTACTAGTAGACTGGCAAATTATTTGAATGACACACTGTCTCCATAAATTGATATTTACCTAACGAGATTATATTGCACATGATATGTGTGTTTGGGCTAGTACAGAAAGAGGACGCACCCTTTGTAAAATATAGCTTAGTTATATAAAATAGCACAATTATATATTCTATTAGGTATTTTTATCATTTAGTTTTAAATGTTCATACCTCCAAATAAAATTACTAGCAGTGTGTGAATAGCCATTCACCAGGTTAACTCATAATTCACCCAGTAATGATGAATAATTATTTATATCAGGCAAGTAATCAAAAGGTTGCTTGTTTTAGTATCTATCTATTTCTGTGTATGGAGAAGTTGGTATAAATGGATAGGTTAAAAAAAACACTAAATATATGTGTAGCTTTTTTCTCTTCTTCTTTTTTAAAAATCTATTTAGGTTTAGATTTGGTTGTTTTATTTCTTAGAGATACTGATTTAAGTGTAAGTATAGGATAAACTTTCCCTGGGGGCTGCATCCAAAATATCTCTGCCATTGTCAGGTTGCTGTGTTTATGATGAGGCAAGTGAAGTTCTTCAATGTCAAGCTCATGTATTTGGATTTTTAGTGATTGAGGCTCAGTAAAGTCTTTCAGCTCATTCTTGACTAGTGAACTGTAGCTTGCTTTTATATGTACCTACGTTTGAAATTCTGACTGGCAATAATAAAGGTGGCAATACTAAGAACTTGCATTTATTACATTATAAATCATCTATGTCAGGCACTGTGTTAGTGCTTGCCAATACGTTTACGTTTTTCCTTATAACAGCCTTGAGTTTTATGCTCAACTGATGAGGGAACTAAAGTCTAGAAAAAATATATAACTTGATCATTGCCAGTCAGTAAGGAGTTTGGTAATATTACATTGATGGTGACCAGAATGATTATAATTATAATAACAGTTTTTTAAAAATGCTTCAAGTTTTCAGATTCTTCTCTTTTCAATTTTCTGGTTCCTTGCTCAGCTTCCAAGCTTACAGTGCTTGTTCTGGATCTTCATGATTGGGGCACGCGTGGGCATGGATAAAGGGTCAGGGAAAACCATGTTATTATCCCCCTACCTTTGCAGGTGGGTGCTGCCAGGAGTGGCTGAATATGTATGTCTCTTTTCAGATCTTGGTTGACAGTTCCTAAACTAAACCAATGACGGAATGAGAATGGTGATCTGGGACTGTTTAAACTTTATCTAATCATTTACTCAACAAATAATTATATTTATTTATTTATTTATTTATTTATTTATTTATTATTAAGGTATTATATGTGTACATATCTTTCCATTGTCAACAAATAATTATTGAGCATATATTATGGGTGAGCCACTGTTTGGGGGATACAATAGCCAGTAAAATGTAGTTATGGCCTTCAAGGAGTTGAATTTAGACAAATGAATGGACAGTTAAAGCACACTTAGGGGTCTGTCAGGGATACACTCAGGATTATATGATAACATTTGGAAGGGTTCCCAGCTACTAGTTATTGATAAGTGGATCTGAGAGGAGAGTAGAATATCTAGTCAGACACTTAAAGAATAAGGAGCTGGTGTTGCAATGTGTATGTCCTATGACTGTGAGTATGTGTGTGTGCATGTGCATGTGAGAGGGCTGTCTGGAAGTTATTCTGGGTAGGGAGAAAAGCATACTCAAAACTTGGAGGGGAGAGATCATGTGCATTTTATGGACTTGCATTTGGATCCATATTGGAGGGGACAAAGGCTATAGTTAGAGATAAGGCTGGAAAAAAATAAGAAGAAGCCAGATGATGGGTCATGGTTGATATACCAATGAGGTTAGATGTGTCTTGAGGACACTAATGAGCTGTGGAAGGGTTTTAACCTTGGGAGTAAGGTAATAAGCTTGAGGTTAACATTTCTCTCTGGCTTTGTTGTTGTTTTTTCATGGGTTATTAACAATGCCATGACCCAGAGGAATAAGTACCAAATAACCTGTTACTTTGTGGGGTGTATTAGTTAGGGTTCTCTAGAGAAACAGAACCAATAGGTGGTATAAGTATATGTCTGAAATACAGTATATGTACTATCTATCTAGTCATCTAAAGTGATATATAAAAAGATATACATGCGTGATTTATTTAATAAGATATACTTGCTCATATGATTTAGAGGATGACTGGTCCTAAGATCTGCAGGATGAGTCAGCCAGCTGGAGGCTCAGGAGAGCTGATGGTTTAGTTTTAGTCCAATTCTAAAGGGCTAGAACTAGAAGTAATGATGTAGTTCCCTCCAGAAGGCCAGCAGACTTGAGATCAGGAAGACCTGATGCTTCAATTTCAACCTAAAGGTAGGAAAAAGCCAACGCTCCAGTTCACAGCTAGTTATTCAGGAAAGAATTCTCTCATACTTGGTGTAGGGTCAAGCATTTGTTCTATTCAGTCCTCAACTGTTTGGATGAGGTCTACTCTTATTAGGAAGGACAACCTGGGATAGGAGATGAAGGTGGTGGAATCCAATCTGATTCCCAGACTGCAGAAGTAGTAGGGGATACAATTGGAACACATCTCATTGTAATTGTGGTGAACAATGAAATAAAAATACTTTTATTTTAAATTTATGTGTAGAATTTTCCCCAAAGAGTTAACAAGTTGTTAACACATAAATACTACTAAGTTGTTGACTAACTACTTAATAAATAGGTGCTAGGTGTTCCTTTTGACCTACGGGCATCATGAAGAAAATCACAGACATTAAGAATGCCATGAACTGAGAACATTTGGTAACATCTGTCACAGGAGTTTATTTTTTTCACATAGAGAGTAGGCCAGAGCAGGCGATGCTGCTAGTGGTTGGAAGGTCAGGGATGTCATGTCCAAGATTGTGGAGCTTCTCTTAGTCTTCCTCTCTTGGTTGTGCAATAGCTGTCACTCTAGCTTCTGCTAAGAAGTCTGTCTTCTTCTTTTTTATTTATTTTTAAAAATATATTTTATTGATTTTTTCAGAGAGGAGGAGAGAGGGATAGAGAGCTAGAAACGTCGATGAGAGAGTAACATCGACCAACTGCCTCTTGCACACCCCCTACTGGGGATGTGCCCGCAACCAATGTACATGCCCTTGACCGGAATCAATCCTAGGACCTTTCAGTCCGCAGGCCGACGCTCTACCACCGAGACAAACCGGTTTCGGCTTCTTCTTCTTTTTTAAAAAAATGTATGAGAGGAAAGGAGAGAGAGATAGAAACATCAATGATGAGAGAGAATCATTGATTGGCTGCTTCCTGCATGCCTCACACTAAGGATTGAGCCTGCAGCCTGGGCATGTACCCTGACCTGGAATTGAACCATGATCTCCGGGTTCATAGGTAACACTCAACCGATGAGCCACACTGTCCAGGCTAAAGTCTGTCTTCTGAGAATGGTGAAGGAATAAGGAAGAAGGACAAAGTACAAAAAAGGCAAAAGCGACAATTCCCCCCAAATATTCCCTTTAATCGAATTTTCACCCAACTGTTCTCTCTAGCCAATCATACATAACTTATCTTAAATAAAACTCATTCTTTGTTCTTAAATCTGCCAGTTTTAAAAAGTTAGATTTTATCTTACATTATTTTGTATTGTTATACTGTATTTTACTTTTTAGCATTTGCCATTTTATTTATTTATTTATTTATTTATTTATTTATTTATTTATTTATTGTCTAAAGTTTTATATGTCTCTTTTTCCCCCAGTTGATGCCCCCATCAGCCATTCTAATCCCGGGCAAGCCCCCACTGCCCCAGTGTCTGTGTCCATTGGTTATGCTAATATACATGCATACAAGTCCTTTGATTGCTCTCTAACCCCTTACCCTCTCCTACCATTTGTCTCTGCATCTATTCTTATTCATCAAATTATGTTGCATTTGCCACTTTTAATATCTCTCTTTCTTGGAAGTAAGTTAAACAATAGGTTGCAGACATTGTGATACTTCATCCCCAAATTTCTAAGTTGGTAACTTGCATGCTGTGTAATAAAAATACATTAATAATAACCAAAGAATTTAACTTTACTACAATAGTATTATTTATATATAGGGTATCCCTATATATCAATAATGGATATGCACATTTTTTAAAATTTTTTATTTTATTGATTTTTTTTTTTTTACAGAGAAGAAGAGAGGGATAAAGAGTTAGAAATATCGATGAGAGAGAAA